ATTTTTTAAAAAATATCTGTATATCATTTTTATGCCTGTTCAGAAAGCATAATACAGGTATTTTAGGAAAGGGAACTTGTTTTCAAGCTCAACTATTACTCTTATATTCAACATTATTGAATATTATTTATTTTATGTTAGCATACAGTTCCCTGGCTTGGTGTAACATATTAGCAAATTTATGTGGCACCTTTCTGAGTATAAAAGCTTGTTTAACTTCTATAATGAAGGGCATAAAGAAAATTAGTTGGATAATGTGAAATGTGTTAGATCTTTTTTTGAAATTAAGTAGTGAGAAACTTTCAGCAACAAGGTATTGGGCAAATAGGAAGGGCTCTTGATTGGGAAATCATCTTTTTATGCTATAAACTGAGGGGATCATGTTTGTTGTCCATTGTTCTTCATCTGTTGTTTGCTCAGACCAAAAACCCCAATAATAAAATGAACTATTTTGAAATTATTTGAAAAGATTCTTTTAAGAATCAGGCAATGTGAACGATTTAAAATATAGTGCAAAAAAGGAGTCTTTCTGTAGTTACAGAAATAAATTCCAGAGAGCATTTTAATATTTATCCATTTTTTACTCAATATTTATATTCTATCTATCGAATATCTCCAAAATACCAACATTTCAAACCTGATAAAGAATTTCCATTAGAAGAGGAAGTTATATTTGCTTATTTCCCACTTGCCTTGCAGTTCATTTTACTTTACTATTTTCATGAAAGGCTGAGGATAGAACAAAATGAAAATATCTTTTGGATTAGAGGACAGAAGAAGAAATGGATAAAAATAGCCTTTTCTCTATTTGTGTCAATGGAATAGTCTTTCTCCAGATAGTCTTTATTGCTATTTCCTGTCTTCTGCACAAAAAAAATGAATGACAGGTATCTTTAACTAAAGCTCCAGAATAACATTGTCTGGATCAAATCTGAATTCGGTTTGCCTTCCCTATTATATATAGTTAAATTATTTCCCATATTGGATATTAGAATTGATCAATTGCCTCATTTTAAAATGTGCATGGACTGAGGTATATGTTTGTGTTTGTGTGTGTGATTTAGTTTCCTTTTGGTAGCATGTACCTTCTACTGTCTTTTCTATGTCTATATACAATATGCACATATATTGATGATTTTTGTTTTCTCTATATTGAAGTGCACATGTTTTCCATTGGCAGTTTTCGATATACAATGAAAAATATCAATTGTAGGCAGCATAATTATGAGTAACAGAGGGAAACATCAGTGATTAAAATGAAATTTTCAAAACTGCATAAAAATTAGAAAGCTCATTCACCTTGTGGTGTTCAAGCAAGAAAAATGCATAGGCAGCTATTGTGGCCCAGCAGGAGCTGTTGGAGCTGCTACCAGACTCCGACAGCAAGGGGCCCTATGAGTCGGTTTTGGAGGATGTGGAAGACCCTGGACAG